TTTTTTTTTTTATATTTACCATTGACGAATAAAACCGAGGGATAAAGTTCCAAATAGGTGAACCCTCCGATTTTTTTGAAACTACACTATTTTTTGTATTTTTTAACGCTGATTACAAATATGATAATGAAAATTTGCCAAAGTCATTTTCAAGGTCAAAACTAAAAAAAACTGAAAAAATATAACTTTTTAAATATTATTTCGATAAATATTGATGTAAGAAAAAAATGTGTCAAATAAAAGTTGTAGTTCTTGTAAAAATACATCATTTATGTTCTATACATTTTTTGCGTAAAACTGAAAGTTTTCGAGAAAATCGATGTTAAAGACTAAAAACGGCGGGTAAAGTTCCGAAAAGTGCTCACCTCTGATTTTTTTGAAACTCAGTATTCTTACGTATTTTGATGCACTGATTACGAATATCATAATGAAAATTGGTGCATCTCTCATTTTCATAGTAAAAATCATGAAAAACCCATAACAATTTTAGATCTTACAGAGAAAAACATTTTATGTCCTATTAATTTTTACCGTACGATAGTTTTCAACAAAAACGATGGAATCTAAATCTTATATCTGTTCTCCCATCTAAGCATGTACTTTGCAGTACATATACGATTCCACATGGGTTTACAACTTTCCACGTAGAGCGAGGTTCCACGCAAACCTATTTGTCTAGTTTTTCGGTAGTGGAGCCCCCCGCAGGGGGGCGGAACCCACTGTTTCCACGCATACACTTTTTCACGCGAAGCCAGGTTCCACATGGGTTTGCAACTTTCCACGCAGAGCGAAGTTCCACGCAAACCTATTTGTCTAGTTTTTCGGTAGTGGAGCCCCCCGCAGAAGGGCGGAACCCACTGTTTCCACGCATACACTTTTTCACGCGAAGCCAGGTTCCACATGGGTTTGCAACTTTCCACGCAGAGCGAAGTTCCACGCAAACCTATTTGTCTAGTTTTTCGGTAGTGGAGCCCCCCGCAGGGGGGCGGAACCCATTGTTTCCACGCATACACTTTTTCACGCGAAGCCAGGTTCCACATGGGTTTGCAACTTTCCACGCAGAGCGAAGTTCCACGCAAACCTATTTGTCTAGTTTTTCGGTAGTGGAGCCCCCCGCAGGGGGGCGGAACCCATTGTTTCCACGCATACACTTTTTCACGCGAAGCCAGGTTCCACATGGGTTTGCAACTTTCCACGCAGAGCGAAGTTCCACGCAAACCTATTTGTCTAGTTTCTCGGTAGTGGAGCCCCCCGCAGGGGGGCGGAACCCATTGTTTCCACGCATACACTTTTTCACGCGAAGCCAGGTTCCACATGGGTTTGCAACTTTCCACGCAGAGCGAAGTTCCACGCAAACCTATTTGTCTAGTTTCTCGGTAGTGGAGCCCCCCGCAGGGGGGCGGAACCCACTGTTTCCACGCATACACTTTTCCACGCGAAGCGAGGTTCCACATGGGTTTGCAACTTTCCACGCAGAGCGAAGTTCCACGCAAACCTATTTGTCTAGTTTCTCGGTAGTGGAGCCCCCCGCAGGGGGGCGGAACCCACTGTTTCCACGCATACACTTTTCCACGCGAAGCGAGGTTCCACATGGGTTTGCAACTTTCCACGCAGAGCGAAGTTCCACGCAAACCTATTTGTCTAGTTTCTCGGTAGTGGAGCCCCCCGCAGGGGGGCGGAACCCACTGTTTCCACGCATACACTTTTCCACGCGAAGCGAGGTTCGCGTGGAAAAGTGTATGCGTGGAAACAGTGGGTTCCGCCCCCCTGCGGGGGGCTCCACTACCGAAAAACTAGACAAATAGGTTTGCGTGGAACCTCGCTCTACGTGGAAAGTTGTAAACCCATGTGGAATCGTATATGTACTGCAAAGTACATGCTTAGATGGGAGAACAGATATAAGATTTAGATTCCATCGTTTTTGTTGAAAACTATCGTACGGTAAAAATTAATAGGACATAAAATGTTTTTCTCTGTAAGATCTAAAATTGTTATGGGTTTTTCATGATTTTCACTATGAAAATGAGAGATGCACCAATTTTCATTATGATATTCGTAATCAGTGCATCAAAATACGTAAGAATACTGAGTTTCAAAAAAATCAGAGGTGAGCACTTTTCGGAACTTCACCTGCCGTTTTTATTCTTTAACATCGATTTTCTCGAAAACTTTCAGTTTTACGCAAAAAATGTATAGAACATAAATGATGTATTTTTACAAGAACTACAACTTTTATTTGACACATTTTTTTCTTACATCAATATTTATCGAAATAATATTTAAAAAGTTATATTTTTTCAGTTTTTTTGAGTTTTGACCTTGAAAATGACCTTGTCGCAAATTTTCATTATCATATTCGTAATCAGCGTTCAAAAATACAAAAAATAGTGTAGTTTCAAAAAAATCGGAGGGTTCACCTATTCGGAACTCCACCCAAACTGAGATTTATCGTCGCTGTATCATGTTATATGCAGTTATGTAAATGTATACAAAAATTATCTGTGATATTCAAGATAAAATTCTGAAATATAGATAATTCAAGACGTAAACGAACCAGTAAAATATCGATTAAGATAGCAATCATCATAATCGGAACGTTGGCATATTTAGATAATAATTACGGTATTCTTGGTAAAAAAAAAACAAACACAGTCCCAAAGAATTATTTTCATTCCAGATAAAAGTACGACAAGTAAGAAAATATTTATCGGCATCGTAACTTTATTGCGTCTAGTTATATCTGATGCGTGAAAATTTCAATATAGTATACACGGTGGCAGGAAAACACACACACACACACACACCTTTCCACAACATTTCTTTACAAATGCGGGCACTATCGGGATATGCTTTTAATGCCTCGCGCTTACCGACTATACGCAAGAAACGACGTTTCGCAATGCAGACCTTATTAGCAACATTAACATACTCGTCGGCGATAAGAGACGCATGCCAATGCAGGTAACAAACTTAAGGTCAGTCGTTTTAAACCACTGATCGGCTCTTTAGCATCTCCGGCGTATTTACGAGTCCGCGATTCACCCACGCATAGATTCAAGTACACGTATCCCGTAAAGCAGGTATTATGTCAGGTCAAAATCGAAAACGTACATATGATCGCGTGTGTAGAAGACGCAGACGCGTCAGCCACACCATAAACTCTAGAAATCATGACACTCGCCAACGCATCGACATAAGACCGGTGCACGAGAGACGATTCGTTATCTCCGACATGCATTTCTTGATACCACGGAATGTCAAAAATCACCCGCGAAAGATGAAATAACGTTTCGCCAATTGGAATGCGAAACGCAATATATTGGTGCAGACAAATACATTTTCGAATCGATATGGTTCGCTTGATTTCTGTACGAAGACCTACATAAAAAATAATTTCCCGTTACGGCTTATTTATCGGGTCGTCTAACACGATGACTACGATTATTAATTATCGCGATAAACACATTTTGCTGAAGAAGTATTTAACGATAATGTGTGTTGATTAAAAAAAAAAATTCTGTTTTTCTTTAATAATTTACCGCAATAAAACAAGTAGATTCGTTGAAACAAGTTTGCTTTCCATAAAAATTTAATTAATGCCTGCTAATATCGAGGTCTGATAATTATGCATTAAATAAATTAAAGGAACAGAAGCATCTACGATCACGACGATCGGGACGACACGCGAGAGAATTAAAATATGTAAGAGGTTAATGGATGCACAATCGCGAACATTTTGCAACACGCGCAACCAATACTCATCCCTTCCCATGCAGAAATTCAAGTGCACATTCTGAGACGGTTGCTAGCAGAGCACGTTCATGTCAAGCGCAAGACGAGCGCTCGCGCACGTCAAGTCAGTCGCGCCAGGTAAGTTCTCCCTCACTCACTCAGATCGAGGCGCTCGCCAACGCAAATACCCGAAGGAGCTTTGCGCAACAGACGAGATCGATCCGCATCTAAATACCATCTCGGCCGTGTGAGTGTATCTTAAAGGGGAACGCAGATCGCGATTCGCGAACAATTCGCGCGGGAGAGAACGAGCGATGCGCATCTTTTCGCGACCAAGTTGCGCGATATATCGCCGTTTATTCGTACCTGGAAAATGCACTTTCTGAATAGCGCGTCTCTACATATCTCGGAAACGATTCGCCGGAAATAATGCGTCTCGACTTGCCATTCAGCCAGCCAGAGAAACAGATTCGAAACGCCCGAGCGCAACAAGACAGTCTTGCATTTTCTTAAATCATCTGAGAAGCAAGAGATGCCACTCGGGTTATTCAAACGCGCGGTAAAGCATTCTCTCGTGTTTCGAGTAGAACACGCTCGATCGCGGAAGTCTCGCAAAACTTCGACGACAATATTTCATCATCAGGCGAGTCGCTCCGTCGCGAACGTTTATCCTGTAAAATATGTCGTTATTTCTTTTTATCCAAAACCGGCAAGCCAATTATCTCCGAGTTACTCGCAGCGGATTATTAATAATCGCGAGCCGTCCGGTAAGACGAGTTCTAAGTACTCACACACATTGATCATAACTCGCTAATAATTACCATCTGTTACACAGATCGCGGAAAAATAACATATCAAATTATCGATGCCACTAAAAGGAAGATTTTTTTTACTATTTTATAAAAGTTTCAAATCTTAGAATTTTTGGGAAACCTTACTAAAGTATTTAATATCTTATTAAATATATAATTAAAAATATATGCGAAAAAAATATTTTAAATTTAATTAAACTTTTATTAAAAACAAAATTAAAAATTAACAAATGTTTTAATTCATGTACGATAAAGAAAATAGTAATAATAAGAAAATATTATTTACATATTATTTTCCTGCATATATTATTATCTATGTAGAAAATGGTATCATTTTTTTTAATATATTTATTTATCAATGTGCGAAAAGTGCGAAAATTATAGCCTTTGCGAACCGATAGCTCATTAATGAAATTCTTAACAGCCTGACTCGGATGTCTTAAAAATTTCACTCACTTTTAATCTGGGTACCGAGGCCGATCTGCCGTTGATTCTTCTGCGTCTCAAGATTCTTGCCCGCTCGCGATCCCTCCGAGTGCACCTGATATCTTGTCGGGGTACCAGGCCGGTTTGAGGCGCGTCCTCGAGGGATCGCACTCCGAGCAGGACGCAGCCTTCATCCTCGCAAACGCCCGCCACGGAGCTACCGCAGTTCCGCATTCCATCCGCACCCGCGTCGCTCGTTATCGTGCACTGCGATAGGTCCTCGATGGACCTTGAGGACGTTTTCGCGCCGGGCCGATGCCTCTTCCGCTCGATCACAAAGGACGAGGCTCGTCTGCGCCGCGCGAGATCAATCTGCGGCGTGACGACACGCCTAGCTATCAATTGCTCCGTCTTCGTCACGAATTCCTGCGATCTACTGCTCGACCGCGATTCAGTTCTGGAACGATATCTGGTCGTCTGAATCCCATCAATGACGTCGCGACTCGACGAGGACGCGCTCTGTTCTAAGGACGAGGTCTCGAAGCGGACTTGTTCTTCGATGTCACTAATCCTTCTCGCTGAATCATTTTGATTCTCGCGCGATCGCTCTTCGATTCTCGAGGAATCGCTCGTGGAAATCTGCTCGCCAGTCTCTGGCGCGGAGGCGGTCCTCCTCAAAGCGCGTCCTCGTGCCTCTATCTTGGAGGACACCTGGATCGATCGCGTCAAAGTATCGCGATATTGCGGATTCACCACTGTCGTATGTCCGTCCTCCTCCACCGTATTCTCGCGATTAACAATCTCGTCCGACGCTTTCCACGTCGTCCTGTCAATCTCTCGAGTCAGGATAAAACTCGCGCTTCTTCCCTTAAACGCGTGAACGTCGTAAAGTCTCCGCGAGGGACCCTTCCAGGATTGATTCTTACGGAATTCCCGCGGCTTCTCCGGAGGCTCGGATACGCCGATCTTCTTCAGGATACCCGGCGGCGCGATGCGCTTATCGACCTCCAGCGTCGTCGCACACTCGTCGCCCTCGCGACGCTCCAAATCGTCGTTACCGTCGTCGACTCGTCGTTTCTCGGATCGCGACGACGTCTCGCATGCTCCATCGACGTCGACGCACTGACGTACGGAGATCAGACGGCAGCCGCCGCCGCCGTCCCCACTATCCTCCTCGGTGATATACATCCGAAATAACTAGGCGTCGCGCGTCATCGTCGCGACATTTTATCGCGAAACTGGACGCACCATCTTCCTTCTTTTGGATAAAAAAATTGCCAACTATTCGGGATCTCTCATGTTACACCCCCCTTACCCTGAATGGGTGGATGGTGATCTCGTAATCTGCCGAAATATTGTATATTTGCACGGAGTTTCGCAGAAAATTTGCAAAGATCTGCAAGATTCGAGGAACAAAATCGAAATCTCTCTGCGTCGTCCGTGATAAATATTATTTATGACGGGCTTTCGGGAAATTTCTTATACCGTATTTTTCCTTGGTCTCGGTTTCAAGCTTCGAACGTCAGCGGTGGACGTTGCCATATGCTCAGGCTATTAATTAACGTCTCGCCGAGACGTCTCGTTTCAGCCGTTTGAACGATCTTCTTTATAATTAATCGGGAGAAAAGCATACCTTTTAATATCATTTCTGCTATAATGTAACAGGTTGTCTTTTTGCATAAATAATGTACGGAATTAAAAATTCAAGTCTTGAGAATAAGGTCGTATATAAATTACAATTTGTTGCTTTCCCAAAAGTAATTAGCGACCATTTCTTTTCTTTTTTTTCAGGGTATATGATATAATATATGCTATTCTCTGTCTCCATGTTTATTTTACTTTTACCGTTAATATATCTTGATCAGAGAATGCAAAAGATTGTTAATAAAAAAATAGTATAATTAGAAAGAATCAGATACTTTACTTAATTATTCACGGTAGCTTCCCTTGAAACGAAAATTTCGCAGCATTTTTGAATCTTGAAATATAATGACGTTCGGATTCTCGTCCGTTATGTTCGCGGATACGTCCGTCAGAATGACAACCGTTTTTACATGCGACGTACAAATTCTCATTGGAATTCGTACAACGTCGAGTTATATACGCAAAAGAGAAATACTTGCTAAGTGCTTTCAAACGTAAATTAAAGAGAATAGTTTCTTCGCTTTTTACGATTAGTAGATAAGTATGCAACAGCATTGAAATTTTTCACGATAAAATAAAGACCTTGAAGATCTTTTCCTAAAATCGAAAATCTTTTCATAGAATAAAAAATAAAAAATTTGCGCGTTACAAATTCATAATATTTCATTTTTCATAGACAATTGGCTTTTGCATATTTTGCGTGGAAACATTTACGTGGCAGATATTTCGCTTAACATACCTTATCCACTCGAAGATAGCCAGACTTAATGAAGGAAAGCAATATTTGACAGTTCAATATAATTATAGCCGGAATTCTAAATTTAGCGAGAAAGCTCCTGGGTAAAGCAATTTGCCGGTGAGTATCAGCACGCTCGATCGATCTTCAAGAGTAAGTATCGCTCGTGCAAGCGAGATATCAAGGGAGACAGTGCGTGCTACGTCATGCGTAATTGTATTACCGTAATTAGTGCTCGTTAGATCCCTCGCGACGTTATCTATCACAACGTTGACGTTCCGCCGTAGTGAAAAAAATCACTATTATAAGATACTCTGTTAAAACGTATCTTACAAATGAAACCCCACTTGTGAATCAAATTGACTCAAGTAAGATGAAAGATAAAAAGATCGACGAAATTCATCCAAGGGAAAGGAGGAAATGCAAATCTTACGTAATACAATTTTTACAAATAAGATTTGCACACATCAACACACCGTCATCCATTTGATTGTCGCACTCACATAAGAGTCTCCGCCGAATAAAACATTTCACATATCATTAATTACAACATTGCTTTTTTTATCGTGTTCTTGTATTCAAGGTGAACCAATCTTCGGGGGTTTAAAAATCCATCTGCATCCCCTATCGTAATTTTTTGCGCACCGCCAAGAAATTTTCCATTTTCTTTTTCAATTTTTATCTCGATCAATCACCAACAATAAACGGGAGAGGGCAGGGGGTTAGCGCACTCCTGGCTTAGCGTAGGTCAGACACGCGCGAGCGGAAAAAGAGACGCACAGGCGTCGAGCGCCGTTGGCCTACTGCGCCGGCACCTAATCCCATAGAGCCGGCACGGCGCGATACAGCACGCCGTATGCACAGTGCGCGAGCGCATGTACATGCACACATACAAATACCATCATCGTTACGCAAACATACGTACGTATACACGCAAATACGCGACACCACCAACGTACACGCCAACATACTTCCATTCCGTTCCATTCCATTCGAGTCGCGCACCTCACGTCTAAACTCTCACCGGTGTTCGGATCTCTCGCCACGCCACGCTGCGCTGGTTTCATGTCTCTTTCATGGTATGTGCACGCGTGCAATATATGTGAGTGTGTGTGTGTATATTGACGCTTCGCCGCCGCCGACGTCAGGATCCAATCGGGGACCGATTGCCAGCACTCTTGCGGCCTGGAATGCCTTTTCCTTTCGGAAACCAGCTCGGATCACGGACCGGTTACGTGTTCTTGTATTCAAGGTGAACCAATCTCGATGAATCAAGAGACGAAGATGTCTTCGGGGGTTTAAAAATCCATCTGCATCCCCTATCGTAATTTTTTGCGCACCGCCAAGAAATTTTCCATTTTCTTTTTCAATTTTTATCTCGATCAATCACCAACAATAAACGGGAGAGGGCAGGGGGTTAGCGCACTCCTGGCTTAGCGTAGGTCAGACACGCGCGAGCGGAAAAAGAGACGCACAGGCGTCGAGCGCCGTTGGCCTACTGCGCCGGCACCTAATCCCATAGAGCCGGCACGGCGCGATACAGCACGCCGTATGCACAGTGCGCGAGCGCATGTACATGCACACATACAAATACCATCATCGTTACGCAAACATACGTACGTATACACGCAAATACGCGACACCACCAACGTACACGCCAACATACTTCCATTCCGTTCCATTCCATTCGAGTCGCGCACCTCACGTCTAAACTCTCACCGGTGTTCGGATCTCTCGGCACGCCACGCTGCGCTGGTTTCATGTCTCTTTCATGGTATGTGCACGCGTGCAATATATGTGAGTGTGTGTGTGTATATTGACGCTTCGCCGCCGCCGACGTCAGGATCCAATCGGGGACCGATTGCCAGCACTCTTGCGGCCTGGAATGCCTTTTCCTTTCGGAAACCAGCTCGGATCACGGACCGGTTACGACCGCGATACTACACGCACGGCAGAGAATTATTGGGAATTATCGAAAATTGATACTAGAACGGGGGAAGGGTCCAAAATGGGCACCCCCCGGAGGTGCGGATAATGCGGAGGAGTTCGTGCGAAAGTATCGCTCGTTGAGACTGCGTTCTTAGGAAATGTAGACATCTAGAAATCGCACCAAAAAAAAAACGACATTCCTTTAGATTTCGATTTTTATATAAGTTTTTCATAAAATTCTAGATGCTCTTTTTCCTGATTAATATTTGCTATGATTGATAGAGATATCTAAGAAAATTAAAATGTTTTAAAGTCTCATTCTTTTCCTTGTTTTATAATATTCCTTATTTTATTGATTTTAGGAAAAATATTGGTCAAGCTTTAAAGAATATTAACTATATTAATTATATTCTATGCTAACGCAAAAAAAATATTATACCATATCTTTGTCCCCTCTGCTTCCTTCTTATATAAATCACATTAATATATTTAAGAAATAAGTTCAATTATATCTACTTTCTATATGCTGTTTTAATTAAATACGTGTGTTTCAGAATTATATAAAATTCAAATTATAGCACAGTATTTTTAGTTACGATGTGTCTTTTTCGCATACATAATCAAGAAATCCCAATATCATCTCGAAGAAAGTGTCTTGCATGGTTCGTTAATAAAGGTAGTATGCTTTTGCGAAAACATCGCGGATAAAGACCTTGTAGACATAATTTTCCATTCATGGGTATTTGCATTCGGTGTAAAGTTTCACTTTATGATACATACATATTTGCAGTCATTATTGAACAGTCACATCTATTATCTTTTTGCTTAATTTTTTTCTTACAATTAGTTAACCACGTCGAAGGGAGAAGATGTCATACAATTTATCGAGTTCAAAGGATATCTCTTTTAATCTATTTTCTTTAGAATAATTTATTCGCGATGATATCTTTTTTGCATGATATCAAATATTTCTCGACATAATAATAATAATAAAATTTACTTGTGATGGAAATGAAAATCATCAGACATAATTAGCTTTCAAGATATTTATATCTGTATCATATTCCGAGAGACACACTCGATGCGAAAGATTTATGGTCGTATATAGTTACATTCGCGCAATTTTTGTTCCTATATTAATTATTTTGTTGCTGATATTAAATATCTCTACAAAAACTCACATACATTCTCAAATAATAAATAATTGTAATAACAATGATAAAATTGCAAGTTATTGCAAATTTAGTCAATATCCCGATCTAATAAAAAGAAACGTAATCGAATTAAAGTTGACCCAATCATTTTCAAGTTTTTAATCACCATCTGAAAGACGCATTTTCTCGGAAAAAAAAATTTCAAAATTTCGAGATATTAGTTTACGACACGCGCGTGCCCCCAACTCGCGAACATTTATCGCGATACCACTAACTTGACATTGTACAAAAAATGTATAGATTTTTTAATATTTTCATCGATGTATGCCTATGATAAAAGGCTTCCGCATAAGAACTTATACATATGTGCACTCTCCAAATGCAGAGCCGCAGCGAATGCTCGCACGTGCCGCGTGCGCAAATCTGTTTACGCACGTGCTGACAGGATTTTATTAATTGTTCGGTGCAGACCGCCCATTCGCTTTGACACGTGATCTCACGATGTTGTACCCTAGGATCATATATGTCACCATTAATTATAGCACGCGCAAACATATCGACCAGTCCGTTTGGATAACGAGCTCGTGAGAAAAAATCGCTATATACTGAATTATCGTAAATTTCACGGTAATAATAATCGTTCTTAATTAGCGTGCTCATTATCTGCTTCGTTAAAATATAAAATATGAAAATAATTGGAAGCTTTGATGAGAGTAAATATTTCGATACGGATTTTGTTTTAATAAAATCATTAAAAATTTATTAACCTATTAAAATTAATTTTCTTAAGTTAGTTTAAATGTATATGTGTATATGTATGTCCATTATCTTGATAACTTTAATAAATTTGAATTAAAAATACGTTTAAATAATTATAATAAGAATTATATATATACGAAATACAATGGGGGATATTAAATATAACAATTATTCTTTTTTCTATATATTTTTAATGATGTAAAAATTAAATAGCGGTTAATTATAAAAAATCTCATAACTAGTTCGTTCCATAGGTTTTCGCATAACCGTCAATAGCCGAAAAAACACTTTTCGGTACATTTGAAATTGGTTATTAACTGGTTTATTTCAAAACCTATGGAGCAAACTACAATCACTTTGATCTCATTTGAAAGATAATTTAATTCCGAACAAAAAGTTTCCTATAAACATGTGTTGAAAAATTTTTCCTTAAAAAGTTAACGCCCAAAAACCTCTAAAACCTTGGTTATTTTTTACATTTTTACAAATATCAGGAAAAGTATCCGTCTTTTAACAAAAAGTACCGAAACAAAAGTTGTAGAGAATTAAATTATCTTTCAAATGAGATCAAAGTTATTGTAGTTCCTTCCATAGGTTTTAAAATAAACCAGTTTATAACCACTTTCAAATGTACCGAAAAATGTTTTTTCGGCTATTGACGGTTATTCGAAAACCTATGGAACGAACTATTGTATAATGATTTGATATGTTAATTTTAATTTAATTTTAAATCTTGATATTTTTATTATTTGTTTCTTTTTGCTTCCTCATAGAGGAAGCTTTGTTTTTTATTGAACAAAAAGTTTCCTATAAACATGGGTTGAAAAATTTTTCCTTAAAAAGTTAGCGCCCAAAAACCTCTAAAATCACGGTTATTTTTTACATTTTTTCAAATATTAGGGAAAGTATGCGTTTTTCAAACAAAAGTACGGAAACAAAAGTTGTAGAGAATTAAATTATCTTTCAAATGAGATCAAAGTTATTGTATTGGATTGAACGAAAAGTTCGTGCCGTTTTTTCGGTCTTCACCTCTTAGTAAAAAACGGAACGAACTTTCCGTTTAACCCAATAAAATTATATAAAAAATATGATCAAGAGATAATAAGTGTATTCGTTTGCGAGTTGATGGACGATCATGTGTTCAGAGAAATTTATGCTTTCGTATAGTCGTGCAACAACTCATCCGCGAAATGTAATAAGTCTCGTCTAACCTAATTAATTAATTTTAACTTTTTGCATTGCGCCGTAAATTTTGGTTTAGTCACCCGATAAATAAAGAAATTTATATGCGGATCTGTTTAAAATTATGATAATTAACTATGCAATTTCACAACGTGCAACGGATGAATGGATGCTGAGATCACTTGAGTTAATCTGTTGTTGAGCGCATTTTTCTCCGCGGGTATCTGATTCTAGTATATGAAACTCGGTTCGTTAATTTTCTCTCATGCTATCTGACGAAAAAAACAGGAGATCCTGAAACTGCTGTCTCGTCCTTGAATCGATCACGTTGATGGATGCGATACGATGCAACGGAAACAAGAATCTGCTTGGTATTTCAATGTCAGAGCTTGTGGATTATCGTGTGATACCTGATGCGGCAGTAAAAAAGAAACGTATCCGCATTAATCGAGTTTTATCATTAAAACCATCTCACGTACTTCGATACATATAACTGTACGGCGGCATATACCTGCGACATATTGATTTCGCGCATTATAACGGACTTCTTGAACGTGCGTTTCGTATGACCATCGACGTATGTAAGTTTTTGTCGATTTTTTATGGAATTCAAATATCTCTCTTGTAACCGTAAAAAAATATTTTAAAATCCCAAACAAGAATTTAGAATTTGATCTATCAAATCTATCTAAAAAAATGAATGTGTAAAAAATATTATAAATAAAATAAAATCAGAAAAATCCAGAATTTTGTGAATGCTTCACAAAAGGACAAAACAATAGTAAACGATTAAGACAATTAAAACAAGTTCATTTAGTATAATGCAAGAGTGAATGTGAGAGTGTGTGTGTGTGTGTGTGTGTATTCGCGAAGGAAACTAAAGGGAGCATCGGACGGCCCCTCGCACGAACAAGAATCCCACGAGATATCCTACTATCAGTAACTCCACTCGACGCTTCAGCAGTCGGAGAGCCGCTAACACAATCAATTTACACAGAATACAAAATATGGAGAAATAGAATAAATTTTAAACAGTATATGTACTTTTCGGAGCTTTTTTATATAAAAGTTACATATCTATAGATGTTCCAAAAGGAGAAAGTGCGTGGATAATTATACAAGGAACTAGTTGTTTATCTTTTGGTATGTG